GCCTAGGAATCTTATGGCTTAAGTAACTCACGTTCATTAGTCCTATGTGACTCCGAGAAAAGAATTTCTCTGCTGACTGAGCTTGATGAAGTTTTTGGCACCTCAATAGTACAAAATCTGTTTTCCATGTATTCCATAGTACTTGGCTCAACATCATAGATTATGTTTTTCCCAGTCAAGTTAATATTGTCAGGTGACTGCACATCGTCATCGTTTATCAGCTTTAAGAGTTGTGATTAATGCTCCTACTGCATGGCACATGCTTTGTGCAGGTGATTGACTACAAAACTCAGCAAAACAGGCTCTTCCCCTTGTTAGCTTCTGCATATGCCTTCAGATTTGTTGGTGAGTGGCTGAAATGGTTGTACACTGATGTTACCCAAAGACTTGCAGCAAATGATTTCTCAACATTGCCTGAGGCACATGCATGTACCGCAGGATTGAAGTCTTTGACCACCAGTGCCACTGCTGTAAGTGCTGACAACAACTTTGATTGTCCACCGACCTTTACTTTCTTGCCCTTTTACAACCAGTCATGGATGCTGTCATCCTTGTCTGGGGCTTTTGGGTTATCATTCTAAGTTTTTTACATGAGTCATCCATATACCTAACAACATAGATGTCAATTTCTGTAAAAAGTAAAATTTTATAATATGCATGCGGAAAGCCTAATCAGAAAAATATATGGCTGGCCACATGATTAAATTTTGCACGTCTTAGAGTTTTTGTTCTTACAACTTGTACCGTTTGGCAGGTTAAGGCTCTGCTATGATTGATGTGTCTGCTACAATGTAGTCTCCTAAACAATCTTCATTTGTATTAGGATAAGAGATTAGCAATTAGGTTTTCTGCAACGGTGGCTTGTACTGCTTATAAATAGTCAAATTTCTTGTCTGACAAAAGAGTTTAATTTGGACCTGCTCCTCTTTAGCTTCAAGAAAGAACTGTTACGTTATAAAATGGAGGAAAAGCAATTCTTAAGTGCTGATTTGAATCCAATATCATACCATTTAACATAACATGCTTCTTGTGTGGTTGCATTTCATTCCAGGATGGAATTGAAGAATGCCGAAAATTATGTGGAGGTCATGGTTATCTTTGTAGCAGTGGGCTTCCAGAATTATTTGCCGTTTATGTCCCTGCCTGTACTTATGAAGGAGATAATGTTGTGCTACAGCTACAGGTAAACTAAATTTTGTATGGAGTTTGACATACCAGTTCTCAGTTTTTCTATGCCTTCCACTCATCCAAAGGGAAAGATCAAAATTTTGCTAGTTTCCATTTTATTCCAAAATTTTGAAGTTCTTATAAAGTGATGGTGTGGAGTTAGAGATTCCTTTAGCTCAGCTGGTTCCATAGCGCCATAGCGGTCATTTAAGCCTGTCAATCATATTTACCTTTTTGGGTGCAGTACCATCAAAATGAACAAATAAGTAAAAACATAAATCCTTTAAGCTTGAGTTTCTCATTGATTTTAAAAAAATAAAATATCCAGCAGTTGTATTATTGTTTCTGGTTTTTTCGGTTCAATATAATCTTTTTTTTTGTAAAATAAGAGAACCAGCAAAGAAGTATTGAGGAATTTCTGGAAAATGTAAAATTCTTATATATAGTATTTCCAATATCCTGTACTTCTTCCCTCACTTATCATGATCTTTCAGAAGTTATAGATGTTCTATAATTAAGTCAATCAGTGTTTGGAACTAGAAATTGTGCAGTCGCTGAACCAAGGTACATTTTGTCACTTTTAAGTACTGAGATCATTTTCGTTACAGAGGAGACTAAGGTAATCTTTTTGGAATGGAGGAAGTAGATAAGAAAGAGTTGATGATAGCAGGTTGATTTTCTTAAAATCAATGGACAAATTTAAATGTTTATAGAATCGGTGGTTGAGCAACCTTTCCTATACTAAATTTTGTGAGATTGCATGTGGCTTCACAATGGTGATCTGTTGCGGGTGTTTTGTCTATTTCTCCCAAAAGCAAGTGAACTGCAATAGATGCTTATCTATTTTATGTAGACTTAATGCATAGTGTTCTAATCCTAGTATTATATTTTAGACCCCGTTCTCCACTATGAACCATGCGGTGTTTCGTGTAGGTTGCAAGGTTTCTTATGAAGACCATTTCACAACTGGGCACTGGAAAGAAGCCAGTAGGTACCGTATCTTATATGGGAAGAATTGAACACTTGATGCAATGTCGTTCTGATGTGAAACAAGGTAAAGTCCTTGGCTCCTTGCAGCTGATCCTTCAATGTCATAGTTACAATTCGTTCTGAAAGCACTTATTGTAGTAGCAGTTGGGTTAGGAAAAGGATCCGCTTGTGATATTAGTTCGTGTAATTTCCTCGCTTTTACTTGCATAATGTCAAACATGTGAGAAAGCCTGTTGTTTCACCCTTCAAATATCCTCCTGTGTTTTCTGACCTACACAAAGTTAGTTTCTGATTGTGGTTTTCCCATCTCCTGCAGCCGAGGACTGGCTGAAACCTAGTGCAGTATTGGAAGCATTTGAAGCAAGGTCTGCCAGGATGTCTGTTGCCTGCGCTAAGAATCTTAGCAAGTTTGAGAATCAAGAAGAAGGTACTCACTTTTTAGTTTCTGCTGCTTTCTTTTTCACTTCTGTATTTTTTTTACTACCATCTACATTAACGTTTCTTCGTGAAGTTTCAGATGCAAATGTTTAATTTAACGATCACTCGGTGTATTTTTCTCGCAACCAAATTCAATTTCTAATTTTCTTGCTTTGTCCTCCTTTTTTTAGGCTTTGCAGAACTAGCAGCTGATTTAGTTGAAGCAGCAATTGCTCATTGTCAATTAATTGTGGTCTCCAAGTAAGTTTTTTTTACTGCAATCTCTTCGTAGTGAAATGCCAAACAATGTCATGACCCTGCGAACACAAAATCATAATTCATAAGTAACTATAAATATGAACTGTCCAAATAGAAAGATCACATTATTTACTGTATTGACTATTCGTTCTTCAGCTGTATTTGGTTTAAATGATCAAAATGTATTCACTCCGTCTTGCTGAAAATGGTGAATTTGTTGATAAGAGTTTTAATTTGTCTTGTAATGCATGGATTGTATCTCATGAAGGTTTATCGAAATTTGATTGACAAGGTTGTGGAATTTAGACCTTTGTTTACTATTACTTCTTTTATCTCATGAAGGTTTATCGAGAAATTGCAACAAAACATTCCTGGTAGAGGGATTAAGCAACAGCTGGAGGTGCTTTGTGGCATCTATTCACTCTTCCTTCTTCACAAACATCAAGGAGATTTTCTCTGGACAGGCTACATCACCTCAAAGCAGGGGTCGCTTGCTAACGACCAGCTCAGAGCCTTGTATTCCCAGGTTCGTCTCGTTAAACTTATACTGTCATTCCTGTATTTCTAGGGTGGAATTGTTTTCACTGATCCAGTTCGTGTTTAATATCAGCTTCGCCCAAATGCTATATCACTGGTTGATGCATTTAACTATACCGATCACTACCTTGATTCAATTCTTGGACGTTATGATGGAAACGTGTATCCAAAACTGTATGAGGCTGCATGGAAGGATCCTTTTAACAAATCAGACATAGCAGATGGCTTCCACGAATATATTAGGCCACTACTCAAGCAGCAACTACGAACTGCTAAGCTGTGAAGCGCAAGAACTGCAGCAAATACACACATAGTAGAACTGTTGTTCTGTGCTGTGCCAATAAACTAGATTTTGAAATAGCAACATCCTTTATGACTATAAAGTGGTGTTGTTTTGAATAAGATTATTGAACTTTTGAAAGGAAACTGTTATGTATGCTTTAGCTTTTTTTCCTCCCAGAATTATGAATAAGAATAGATTGATTTTTTGCCTCAAATATGAGTTCCCTGGTGTTTGGAGCCTTTTATTTTTAACAAGTATCCTGTATAATCTGTCTGATTAATAATATACTTTCACAGTCTATCATGAAATCTATGACAAAAAGGTTTTATGCTTACTAGTACTTATGAATTATTGCCTATAGCTTACACATAAATGGTCATAACATTTTGTGTTTTATGAAAAATTATTTCACCTTTTTATTTCCTTTAATTATAGCTTTCTTATCTGTTTATTTCCTTTTCTTTTAATCATCTTTTGGATAAAGAACAAACACGAGTGAAAACGAAGTTGATTCTAATAAAGATATTTTTTTTTTTCTGGTTTTCAGCGAGATGTATAATGTTAATTATGCTTAAAAATAAGATTTTTTTTTTAATTTTTAAAAACAAATTAATAATAAAATAACATGAAATTTGGAGGGTTAGAAGTTAGAATAGTACTTTTCACTAGTTATTGTTGTGGAGATTACTTTTGAATCTTGTGTTTTTCAAAATGCTCTTTAGTCCTGTGGTAAAAAGTTTTGAAATTAAAGAGTTTGCAAAAAAAGGAAAAATACGTTTTTTTGGAATGAACTAAAAAGGAAAGTAAGATGTCCTGGATCATGGTTTGTATTTGGTTAGAACGTCAGCTTTAGTCCAAACATTATATTTAGTTCATTAAATTCAGAACTCAGTTATTTAACATAGATCGATATATATCACTATCCTATATTTCTCCTAGCTCGGCCTCTGTCTACAAGCCCATAGTAAAATAGCGCTTGTGTAATGAGTCTCTGCATATTGATGTATTTTAATTTGCTAGTTGTTGGTGTGGCCTTGTCTAACAAGTAACTTCAATGTTCACTCAGCTAGATTACTACCTTTATAATGTTAAATGTTTAATTGAAGAATTAAAAAAATGTATGTAAGAGTGCTGGTATAACCACATACTTTAACTACTCAATCTTGGTAGTCCATAATGATCAGAGTCGAAACATGAGCCTATTAGTGAAGCAAATTCAATGAAGCAACAACTGGCACCGTATCTAGCTATACATAGCACACATGAAAATGTCTAAAGCCCTTCTCCTTTTTGTTATAACTATCCAAGATTGGATTTTGTATTCTGTTTCATCCCTGAGAGAGAGAGAGAGAGAGATGGAGAGTATAGATTACTTGGCTGAAGAGAGGAAGAAAGCTGAGTTCAATGTTGATGAGATGAAAATTGTTTGGGCTGGTTCTCGCCGTGCTTTTGAAGTTTCAGATTATATCTCCAAGCTTGTTGCTGATGATCCTGTAATTCCTTTTTTTTCTCCCCATTTTTTAAACTTATGTTTTGACCCTTTCTTGTTGGATAATTTTTGTGTATGGCTGTCAGTGACATTTCTGAATAATGACTCTCTTGAGCTGAGGGTCTATCAGAAACAACCTCTCTACCTCCACAAAGGTAGGGGTAAGGTCTGCATACACTCCAGTCTCCACTAACCCCACTTGTGGGGTCACACTGGGTATGTTGTTGTTGTTGCTGTCAGTGACATGATCAGGATTTGTCTTTTATCTTTATCGAGTGTCATCGTGGGATACAGGGCTTCAGTAAGGAGGAAAGGACAATGCTTCCCAGGAAAGAACTATTTAAGAACACTCTAAGGAAGTCAGCATACTCATGGAAACACATCATTGATCATCAGCTTTCTGGTATGACTTCATTTTAGTTTTAAATATTTTTTCAAATGTATTCTGCCAAAGAAGAGGCATCTAACTGAAGTTTGTCACTGTTTGCTAATTAAATTGAATTGTCATTTCTGCAGAAGAAGAAGCAGAAAGGTTAAGATATTTTGTGGATGAGCCTGCTTTTATTGATTCTCATTTGGTAGTAACTTCTTGTTTGACTACTATTTTTACATACATATGCCAATTTTGAAGTTGTTGTTCTAGTCTTTTCCCTTTGCGTTTCATTTGCTTCAGGCCTTAGGATTATGGCTCACCTGCCACTGTTCTTCTTCGTTAGGGAGTGTTTATACCCGCTATAAAAGGACAGGGCACAAAGGAACAACTAAAAAAGTGGTTGCCGTTGGCATACAAGATGCAAATTATTGGCTGCTATGCTCAAACTGAACTTGGACATGGGTCCAATGTGCAAGGCCTTGAAACCACTGCCACATTTGATCCCCGAACAGATGAATTTGTCATTCATAGTCCAACACTGACATCAAGCAAGGTGAAAATTGTCCAACACTTGCTATATAATACATTCTTATGCAAGATATGTATTGTCCTATATGACATCGTTGGCCTGCTTCTAGTTTGTTTTTCTGTTCAATGTGCTATTCTGAAAGGGCTTACAACATGCTTTTTTATTAAGAATAAGTGAATTTCACTGATCATTGTTACGATGTCAATAGTGGTGGCCTGGTGGATTGGGTAAAGTCTCTACCCATGCGATTGTGTATGCTCGTCTTATAACAGATGGTAAAGATCATGGGATTAACGGTATGTCAATGATTCTCAGGTCACAAAACAGTGATGCATGTCAAACTTTCAGGAACTATGCACTCACATTTTATTGACTATTCATTTTTCAGGTTTTATTGTCCAACTACGGAGCTTGGAGGATCACAAACCTCTTCCAGGCATTACTGTCGGAGATATTGGAACAAAATTTGGAAACGGGGCATACAATACCATGGATAATGGAGTACTAAGATTTGATCACGTGCGTATTCCAAGAGATCAAATGCTGATGAGGTTTGTGCTTTTCCTATTTCTGGAATTCATGTTTCAGAGTCTCATGATTAACACAATGGGGTATTATATTTGACCCTAAAATTTCAGGGTTGCGCAAGTTACCAAGGACGGAATATATGTCCAATCTGATGTTCCTCGACAACTTCTCTATGAGTCCATGGTATATACTCGTCAAGCACTTGTAACATATGCTTCTGGTGCTTTGTCTTGGGCAGTGTGTATTGCAACGAGATATAGTGCTGTTCGTAGACAATTTGGTTCTCAAAATGGTGGACAAGAAATTCAGGTAATTTGGTTCTGATCTTTTGTTCCTGCATTCCATTTATAGCATACTCATATTGGACAATTTATGTTTTTCCCAGTCAAGTAATAGTGTCTGGTGACTGCACTTAACCATCGTTGTGGATTAATGCTCTTACTTACACGCGTTTATGCAGGTGATTGACTACAAAACTCAGCAAAGCAGGCTATTCCCCCTGTTAGCTTCTGCATATGCCTTCAGATTTGTTGGTGAGTGGCTGAAATGGTTTTACACTGATGTAACTCAAAGACTGCAAGCAAATGATTTCTCAACGCTGCCTGAGTTGCACGCAACTACAGCAGGAATAAAGTCTTTGACAACCACTGCCACTGCTGTGAGTAGTGACAATTTAATTCTCTGACTATTGATTTGAATACAATATCGCGCCATCTAACATAACTAGTGTGTTCCCTGAATACAATTTTTATTCCAGGATGGAATTGAAGAATGCCGGAAGTTGTGTGGAGGTCATGGTTATCTTTGTAGCAGTGGACTTCCAGAATTATATGCTGTTTATGTCCCTGCCTGTACATTTGAAGGAGATAACGTCGTGCTACTACTTCAGGTAAAAACTAATTTTCATATGAAGTTTGACATATATACGCGTTTCAAGTCCTTTCTTAGATCTAACACTCCACTATAAACCATGCTGTGTTTCATGTAGGTTGCAAGGTTTCTTATGAAAACTGTTTCACAGCTGAGCTCCGGAAAGAAGCCAACGGGTACCATAGCTTATATGGGGAAAATTGAACACTTGATGCAATGCCGTTCTGATGTGGAACAAGGTAAATCCTTGCAGATCATCCTTCATTGTTATAGTTACACTAGTGATATTAGTATATGTATATCCTGTTTGACCGAGCTTTTAAAATCAATTTATTTTAAAAAGTGCTTATCAAAAAAGTACTTTTGATGAGAAACAGTTTGTGTTTAACCAATAAATTTGAAAAGTACTTTTTGTGAAAAACTACTTTTTTTTTAGATTCTGAAAAAACAATTTTTGTTACTTTTTAGAAACACTTATTTTCTTCCACAAGCTTGGTCAAACAGGATAGTAATCTTCTTATGTTCTTCGCTTGAACTTGCATAACATCAACCGCGTAAAAGTAAATCACTAGTTGTGGTTGTTTTCCATCTCCGGCAGCCAAGGACTGGCTGAAACCTAGTGCAATATTGGAAGCATTTGAAGCAAGGGCTACCAGGATGTCTGTTGCCTGTGCTCAGAGTCTTAGCAAGTTTGATAATCCAGAAGAAGGTCCTTACTTTTAAGTCTTCTTCAATGTAAAAGTTTGATTATCGATCGAGTATAGGTTAAAGAACTTCCTTGCTTTACTCTCCTTTCACTAGGCTTCCAAGAACTTGCACCTGATTTAGTTGAAGCAGCACTAGCTCATTGTCAGTTGATTGTTGTCTCCAAGTAAGCTTTGCGATATTATGGAAATTTGGATATATATGTTGAGAACATTGTTAATTCTTACATGTCTTTCATCTCATTGAAGGTTTATCGAAAAGCTGCAACAAGACATTCCAGGGGAAGGCATTAAGCAACAGCTGGAGGTGCTTTGTTGCATCTATGCACTCTTCCTACTTCACAAACATCACGGAGATTTCCTCGTGACTGGCTACATCACCTCAAAGCAGGGGTTATTTGCTAATGAGCAGCTCAGGGCCTTGTATACTCAGGTTCGTCTCGTTGAATTTGTCATCTGTCATTCCTGTTTAATTTGTTGTGGTGGATTATTTTTTGTATTGATGTATATATTACTCTTTAATATGATCAGGTTCGTCCAAATGCTGTATCGTTGGCTGATGCATTTAACCATACCGATCATTTCCTTGGTTCAATTCTTGGACGTTATGATGGAAATGTGTACCCAAAACTGTATGAGGCTGCGTGGAAGGATCCTCTCAACGAATCAGATGTACCCGATGGCTTCGATGAATATATCAGGCCACTACTCAAGCAGCAACTGCAGACTGCTAGATTGTGAATGAAGAATTGCAGAAAACAGATATATAACTACGACTGTTGTATTGTATTGTGGACACTAAACTTGAGTTACAAACTTATTTGAATAAGATTATGGAACTCCTGAAAGTGAGCTGTAAGGTGTTAAATATTACTCCCTCTGTTCAGTTTTACTTGTCTACTTTGGATTTTGCACGATCCTTAACATAATGATTGATATGAGTATTTTACCACAATAATCATATTAATTAATATTGTCTTAAATCTTGATAAATGATTTGAAAAATAAGTAGTTAACGTTAAGGATAAAACATGAAAAAAATTATATTATCTTAGTGAACCAGTAAAAACGTATGGAATGAGTAGGTAGTAGTCTAACAAAAAGGAGGAGCATTAAGAAGTTGTGTTGATCATAGAGTAAGGTGGGATGGGATATCCATAAATTTATACCTTCAATCAAATAAAAATATCAATTTTATATATCCAAAACTTAATAATGAATATATTATTTTCTTCCATTTGCTAGGCATAGGATATATTAGTCCGCTAACCAAACATCCCCTACCTTTCACTTATGGTGGTAAGATTTCAGTAAATAAACAAGAAAATGAAATTATTGTGCAAACCAAATGACCCCTACCTTTCATTAATTAATAATTAAGTGCTGAGAGTTCATGTACAAACACATTATGTACTAATTAGCTTGACTACTTGATATAAACATTAAATACAAATAATTTTTTACGCAATAATTATAAGTTCGATAGTCATTCTCCATTGATTTTTTTCGTTCTTATATAGTTCCTAGCTCCTATATATACTTGGGAAAAAAAATAGTTTACATGGTAATAAATTAAAAGTAGTTAAAAAGTTTGAATGGTGATTAGTCCAATGATGACTTAATACAAGACCAGTAATAATACAACACCATCCATGCACAATCTAGATTTTTTTAATCTTTGTGCTTTGCTCCTGTTCCAAGTTTGTAGCCACAACCAAAAAAAAAAAAAAAAAAAAGTGAAAAATGAAAGATCATGTAATGATATTTTTTTTTTAAAAAGTCAAAAGGCACAAAAGCAAAAGACATGATTAAGATTTTAGACTAACATTTTTAGTAAAAGATTAAGTTAAAATGTCATAATGCCTCAGTAATTTTTATATCTACTATGTATAGATAATTAATGATATTCTCTTAACTCGTGCTTCATGTGGGGAAGATTAATTTGAAGTCCGATTTATTGTTTTTGCCCGTCTATTAGCTAGTTACTTTTATTCGTAACTTGAAAAATGAGAAATCAGTGGATTTTGATAATCATAAATTATGGATGATAGTGTGTCATACATAAAATCTTCAAATAAGCTTAAAATCAAGGTAATGAGATGATTTTGTAAACATAATTCATATTGATAATTGATTATTTTTTTTAAAGTTATATAATGAAATTAATCTCAATATAGTTAATCTCAATATAACTTGTCTTTAAATTAAACGACTCTATAAAAATTGTTTTCCAGTGTGGTAAGTAAAATAGTTCTAGTTAAAGTTTCAATCAATCACCATCACTAAAAACTGGGCATCCAAACATATTGAAGTGCCTAAAAAGCACCTAATAAAAAGCACCAAAGTTTTGTTTTTCTTTTTAATAAATAAAATTCTTTGTTTTCTTTATTCATAATATTTAGTTTCTTTTTTTTACAAACTTTGTTTTCTTTATTGATTACTAAGATATTGTATCTATGGACTAGGATGAATTTGGCCCATCTATCCCTAAAATGCTTAAAGGAAATATCACAGCCAAAGGGGTAAGAGAAACTACAAAAAGTAGATTGAAAATCGGGTAAAAACCAACAAACGACCTCATTTTTTTTACTTGAAAATATACATTTAATCAACTTAGAAAAGCTAAATAAATGATTCATGTTCATTGGTTAAATTAATTAATCAAAATAAATTAATTCATATTCATTGATTGAAAACTTGAGTTCCAAAAAAATTAAATAAGGGTTAGAAGGATAAAGTTACATCATTTATTAATGCAAGTACAAATTAAAAATATGACATACAAAAAGGAACCGAGGGAGTATTGATTTTACCACTAGACCACATATGCTATTTAATGAAATATTTATGTAGTTTTAATTATACTCCTCAACTGTAATTTTGCACCTTAAAAAACTGAGGAACTCCGACAGTTTAATTAAAATTAAATTCAAAAAACTTTTTTATAATTTCCTTATACTTTGCGAGAAAAATAATCTTTTGATGTTCATCGATTTTCTTTAAGAAAAAAATCATTAAAATAAAATAGAGTCTGTTGGTTTTTAACGTTTTTTTAAAGTAGTGAGACACAAGTTAAAGTTTTTTAAAAAAACATTAACATTTTGTCATTTAAAAAACATTTAGAAATGTTACGAACTAAGAAAGGACAAATGTTTCACTTTGTGTTAGTAAAGCTTTAATGAAGGCAACGGACATTGAATGGAAAAAAAAAAATTACATAGAAAAGTAATTTGTTTTGTGACATCTACTATGCAAGTCCATTCTTATACAGTAAATTATTTCTACGTACTCATGTAACACAGAAGAATTATCATTGGAGAGCTATTTTATGATTGTAATACCACGTAATCATTATGTCAAATATCATATACTAACATACTAATTAGTTTTCTATATGATTATGGTACTTTCGATGAATTTAATATACTTTGGAAAATGATTTTTTTAAAAAATAAACTAAAGCATTTTAAGGAAGTATTTGAGAGTATTGCATTAACAGTAAAAAGTCTGCTGGCGAAGACGCTAAGATTACCATAATACAAAAATACTAAGGAAATAAAATGTATTTATTCCATGTTTGATTAATATAAAATTACAGAACAAGTTGTCTTAAAAAGTGAGATAACTAATCTCGAAATAACTTATTTCCCGAGCCCATAATGAAGAATGACTATTCTGGATAAGGTAACTTTTTAAAACGAAACTAAAAAGAAATGTAGTACAAATAAATTAATTTGCTTTCACTTTTTTTATTTTTCTTTGTATTATTCCATCTAAAGGAAAAAAGATAAATAAAGTGCCAAATGAGTTGAAGAACCAAAAACACTATAAGAAGCCTCTCTTCATGTTTTTCACTCAACTCAAAGAAAACTCCCATGGAAGAAAAACATCAATCTCCTATTATTTTCAATAACAATCAGACAACTCCATCTTCATCTCTAACAAAAAGATCAATAACCTTAAAACCATCAAAACAACAAAGCAATCACAACAAGAAAATCAAATCCAGTACTGAAAAAACCAAGAAAATTGATGACTCAAAACACCCAATTTACCACGGTGTTCGAAAACGAAGCTGGGGTAAATGGGTGTCTGAAATTCGCGAGCCGAGGAAAAAATCAAGAATTTGGCTTGGTACTTTTTCTACTGCTGAAATGGCTGCCAGAGCACATGATGTAGCTGCAATGGCCATTAAAGGTCACTTAGCTTTACTCAATTTCCCTGAATTAGCTCATCAGTTTCCTAAACCAGCTTCGAAATGCGCTAAAGATATTCAATCTGCAGCCGCGAAGGCTGCAGCTTTGAATATTTCACCAAGAAATTTTATGGAAAAACAGAGTAAATGTGAGTTAATGGAAATGCTCTGTTCTCCTGAAGAAACAGAGTCAACAGAATCATCATCTTCATCTTCATCTTTATCTTTGGGGAGTAATAATGAGGATCCTTTTCTTGATTTGCCAGATCTTCTACTGGATCTTACTCAAAAATTTGATAAATTTTGTTACTATAATTCAACATGGGATTTGGCTGGAGCTGTAAGCAATGACTCTAATTACTCTGGATTTTGGCCTCAAGAAGATCTCTATTTGTGGGAATACAGCCATGAAACCGAACTCGAAGTCCCACAGCTATAATAATATAATTTTTCGACGAAAAGTGAACTGATGCATGAATGCTAAAGATCTCAATTTGTGGGAGATTACAACAATGGAGGCTGGAGCCGTCACAGAACTATGGAGCATCAAAAAAAGGTTACAGTTCACCAATGATGTTGGAAACGACTGTTTACTTGTTTTCAAGCTTATATAACGTCACTCTTTAAAAGCTATTATTAAAGATTGCAGATATTTATTGAAAGCTCAATGTGTCGACTTTTTAGCAAGCGAAAGACCCAAGGATAAAGAAGATTTGCTAATTTGAGAAGGTGCGATAAGGAATATGATTTTTTTTTCTCTTTAACATTTTTAAGTCATGTAACTTATGAATGATTTAAAAAATTTCTAATCTTTTTTTTATGCAACAAAATAGAATAAATGAGTACGGAATTGACAGTCATCTTTTATGTTATGGCATTGTAAATAAACTGATGAATAAATTATTTTCTTGATTATTGTTTTTCAGTGACTGATAAATAAATAAATTATTAGGGGAATATAATTTAGGTTTCTTCTTTTGGTAATTTTTTTTTAGGGGAATCCTAATTTACCAACAATGGAAGAAAGTGAAACATGGAATCATGTGGAATTTATCATTTTACGCATGACGTTTGACAGGTTTTATATAATTCTTTTAGTAAATAAAATATTTTTAATTCTTCTGCAAATCAGAGCTTATATTCTCTGGAAAAAAAAAAAGAACACGTGAATAATTTAATCACTTTCCTTTTTTTTTTTTTTTCTATCCAATGAGACAAGGATATTTCTTCCTTTTTTATATATATGGCTCGTGTATGAAGTAGAGCCTTCGAACAATGATAAAATTATCTTTTATAAATCACAAACTCAAATTGTTGAGTCAATCATTTATAACATAGATAAGATTATTTACGTATAGACATTCAGAAGTAAAGTCAACATTCGAATTAGTTTATAATTTCTGAACTTGTATCAAACTTATAATTTATTTTTGTTATAAAATATACAAATATATATATTGAATGAGTGTTTTTTTTAAAAGAAATTATAAATCTCAAGTCTAAGAAAAAAATATTGTGTGATATGATTAATAGTTCAATACTATAGATCTGCCCCTGCCTACATTACTATATAGTTGAGAGAAACATGAACATTTGAAGCATTTAATTGTAAACATGGGATTGAATAAGACTTTCACATGGTAATAATTAATAAAGCTAAGATATATTAATACAATCATAGTTTAGGATACAAAAGGATACATTTCTATATCCCAAATTTAGGGAATGTATTTATTGTTATTGGTTTACAATAGTGACACATAACATCATTGTCCTAATTTCTCTTTCGATATATGTCAGCTTCATTAATTTCCTTAATATTTTATAAATACAATTTATTGGTTGTGTCAAACGATAAATAAAACATACCCACACTACTAAATTGGTTTAAATCAATAACAAATAGTCACACAAAGATCAACCTGGATTGCGATAGAATGATTAAGATTTTCTCACTCTTGATTAGATGTTTCGAATTTGAGCCTCTACGAATGAAACTTTTTTTTGTTGGACCATTGAAGATGAGATTGAATATGGAGTGAGAATTTTTTTTAAAAATAATCAGATAATCCTCTAAATTGATATCGGACATACAGTTATAACCATTGTTATGCGTCAATTATAAATAAATTGAAGTCTGCTGTATAACTTTTACTAACAATATTATTTCATTTAAGCTCATCAATTATCTCAATTTAATTGACCAACTAGGTTCAAAATTAAGATAAAAAACTGTTGTATAAATAAGTTAATAAATCATATAAAATATACTATTTCTTTTAAATATAAATGTTAAAGGTTAATATACCTTAAAAGTTAAAACCTCAAGTATATTCCAATTGAAGCTAAGGTATAATTAAAGGAAATTACAGCTAGTTGCTTCATATACTATGACACGTTACGTTTCAGATTAGTTTACCTTTACCACATGAAATTAGAAAATGTTTAGGATTTTTGTATTAATAAAAAAACACAAGCTGATTATTATCTGAATATGAAATTATTAAAAATGTACAGAAAATAAAAAGCAGGGTTTAAATTACTTTTTTTTTTCTTAATCATTGAAATCCTCTTTTGCTTTTCATGCATTTTTACCTCTTTTTCTTGTTTCCATTTTTTTTTAATTCCCCCACCCTATATACAGTAAACTCCCCACCCTACCCTAATAAGTAGCAAAACCATCAAGAAATTCTAGTCAATGAAGCAAGTGAAAAATATCTTTTATATTTTTAATGATGGTGTTTGGATCATCGAGTATCTATTATTTTTATCTGATATTGAATAACTTTGCTATTAATATTAAGCAGATATAAGAAGAAATTAATTAGTATTTTCATCTCAATTAAATATTGAACTCTGATTTCAAAATTTGTACCGCATTCATTAATCGCTAAATCACGCCATTCGGTGTTGAAGCAAAGTAAAAATCATAACAAAGATTAAAAGAAAAAAAATTAGCTCGATGTACGAAGTATTACATATTCAATAGGGTTCAAGGATAAGTCACACCCGAAGATGGTGAATGTAGGCAATCTACTCTGATGTACTCTCTCCGTCCACTTTTAGTTATCATGTTGCGCATTTCGAAAGTTAATTAGACTAATTTTAAAAGTTAAATTAGATTACATTAATTTGATATTTTGATAAAATTAGATATTAAAAAATTATACGAAAAGTACTATAAATTGCAATTTTTTGCATTTTAATATGATGAAAATATACATCATAAAATGTTAGTCAAATTTCTTATAGTTTGACTCAGAAAATATGCACAGATTAATAATACTTAAAAAATGTGGTCCAAAGGCATGGTAATTTTGATAGGACTTGTTACCCTCTAAGATTTAGCCAACCACATATTTACAATTCTCAAATTTAACTAAAGTTGTTCTCATTTTGATAACAAATACTCCATTATCTTAGTTAATTTGTCAAGAGCTGTAACATCCCCCAAAAAGAACACACAACATCAACAGTCAGAAATTAATTAAGTTTAACTTTCATGATTAGTTTCTTAATTATTCTCTCTTTTTTTAATCTTTCTTTATGTGGTGTCATGTTAATTAGCAATATATAGAGGTTATCCTTATTAATCAAATCAAATGTACTTTTCATGGTTGCAATAAAATATAGTATCTGCAGGTCTGATAATTAGGGCAATTTAAGTACAAATTAAAGACCCTCCAAATAGGGGAGAAAAGTTGGGTTTTTTCAGTCACATTCTAATTTCGTTTTGCTCATTCCAATCGTCAAGTCTGATCAACTAGACTATTTGTCCTGTCTCCGGTCTCTCACTTCATTCCGCTCTTTTTTTATATTGTCGCTCGAATAATAATCACATGTTTTATAATTTATATTAAAGGGATCACTGTGCCAAATTAGAAAATAATTAAAATTGTCATAGGAGGAATAAAGCTAAATTCTGCAAAGTGAAATATATTATTCATGTACAAGAACAAAGATATTCAAAAAATCTTAAGTGTCAAGACCAAAGTCCAAATTCCAAGCATTTTATGTAAATTATAAGAAATAAAATGAAAAAAGGTGAGATAATTACTTTGACTATTCTTTGGCACCAAACCTACAAAAGAATACGATATTAATTAATTAAAACAATCCAAAGTAGGAGTAATTTACACATCCAGGAATACTTTGTTTGTCTTTATTACTCCCTTCGATTAAAAAAAGAAAAAAATGTTACTTTTATATACATAAAAATTAACTTATAGAGTATCTTTTTATTTCATCCTTAATGACCACCTTTATGGCCAGTACACAAACAGAGACAGGCAAAAATTTTAATTTATGAATTTTAAATTATAACTCTTCTTGCTTACTGAATTTTGAATTTGATTATATATTCATATTATTGAATTATACCGAACACACAATTACAATGCTTTCTTGTTGCACACAAATATTATAGTATGTTCCGACGATAAATTTTAAAGCCATAAAATTACATGGATGTAATGATCTTTTGACTAATTAAACTATGCTATATAAATTGAAACGTATTAAAAAGGAAAAGAAAGCATGCAAATCTTTTGGTAGGTTATAGTTCAGTACAACATGCAGATCAGAATGATTAAAGTCAATGGACCAAGACTTGGATGATAAGCTAGAATCCCATTTACACTATACTTTATGCCATCTGAAATTGATAGTAGTACAAAATAATTATTTTGAATTTATTCTTAAAAACCTTATATTTTATATTGTTGACATGTCTCTTAACATAAGAATCTCTTTTGAGATGGACCAGGCCATATAGCGGAAAATTAAGTAATCACACGACTTAAGATAACATAATTTTAAAAAATTTCTATCATTAAAAGTTTCATTTTTCCTTCTCTTTCTTAACATCTGGATACATGACTCCAACTTTATCAGATACATTACAACTTTGTTTGTGTACAATCTATCTAGTACAAATGTTATTGTTGATACAAACCCCAATTATTTCAAACCTAAATTAATATGAATCTGATTTATAGTTATATATGTCACAACCCGAGCCTACACCCTGGACGTAGCCGGCACTCGAGAACCATTGCTGGTCCCCAAGCTAACCCTCATCTTGGCTGACTTCAAGCGGAAGACTAACTCAAGCATACAAAGCTTAAAAACTAAATAAAATTCATGAAAA